TTCTGTCTCTCCCAAAGCACTGATGGGGCTGTTCTCGGAATTCCCCGCATCTGCCTGAAGTGCACCCCTGCTGCGGCAGAAGACCGAGGCCTGGGGTCCCTCTCTGAGTCTCCAACGGCTGGACTCTCTTCACGGGAATGAGGACTGAAGTCGGTCAACACACCTGGGTAGACCTTTGTCACAAACCAACAGGCTGTCCCAGACCGTTCATTGGGTGTTCTTCAGGCCCATGGAGTTCCCTAAAAAATATTTACTAACCGCGGGGCATGAAGGCTCACGCCTGCAATCCCAGCAGTCTGGGAGGCCAAGGCAGGTAGATCATGAGATCAGGAGTTCCAGACCAGCCTGACCAACATGGTGAAATCCCATCTCCACTGAAAATACCAAAATTAGCCTGGCGTGGTGACATGTACCTGTAATCCCAGCTACTTGGGAGGCTGAGGCAGGAGAATCGCTTGAACCCGGGAGGTGGAGGTTTCTGTGAGCTGAGGTCGCGACATTGCACTCCAGCCTCAGTGATAGAGCAAGATTCTCTCAAAAATTTCCTGTAATTAGAATTGTTTCTCTTCCAGTCATCCATTTTCTGGTTGTTTCTGTTGCCTTAAAAAAAAAAAAAGGATTGGCCAGCTGTGGTGGCTCACGCCTGTAATCCCAGCACTTTGGGAGGCCAAGGAGGGCAGATCACCTGAGGTCAGGAGTTTGAGACCAGCCTGACCAACAAGGTGAAACCCTGTCTCTACTAGAAATATAAACATTAGCCGGCGTGGTGGTGGGCGCCTGTAGTCCCAGGTACTCGGGAGGCTGAGGCAGGAGAATTGCTTGAACCCAGGAGGTAGAGGTTGCGGTGAGCTGAGATGGCACTATTGCACTCCAGCCTGGGCGACAGAGTGAGACTGTGTCTCAAAAAAGACTTTATCACACTCTTAGAGAAAATATTCACATGCTTTTGTGGTTGCCAGTGAAATCCCCAAACATTTTTACATTAATCAGTTGAAACTATCACCCTGAGAAGATGATGGCTGAGCACCAGCACGTTTTGTGGCGAACAGTGTTCTTATTTAGTTCTTTGACGCGAATGCGAAGGGAATTCAGGAGCCCAGAGGCATCCAAGACACTATGGGAATTCAGGAGCCCGGAGGCATCTGAGACTCGGCTGTGCTCTTCTGTCTTTGTGGTGTCCACGAGATGTCATGCTGAGAAAAAACAGACAAACCCATTGCCCACTCCCATCTTGTCTCTGATCAGAAAGTGAGAGCTTCAATTTTCCAAATGGTCCACGAGGCAGATGAAGGGGAAGAGTACTCCTAACCCACCCATCAGCTCGGTCTCTGACCTGGAGGGTGGAGAGGAGGAGGCTGGACAGAGAAGTGCCGGGCGGCTCAGAAAACAAGACCCAAAGCTGAAGGCCTCCTAGGCAGCCTCAGAAGCAAAAAGTTTTCTGTGACCTTCTCTGGCCCTCCTGTCTCTTGCCCCTCATTCTCCCGTCTGACCATGGAAACTAGAATCCCTCTTCCCCAAGGTGGACCGCAGAAACCAGAACCCAAAGCCAGCCATCAAACCTAAAAATAGGTCCCGAATTTTCCCTCTGCCTTTCTGTGTACAACCCGGCCATGAAGAAATAATCTGATCCACTTTGTTAGGCTGTATATCCTAAGACCCTCACTCCAGAGAGGGTCCTGGAAAGAAGGCAGGGAGGGAGGGAGGGAGGGAGGGGGGCTGCTCAGAGGCCAAGAAGAATCTAGGCAGGGCTGGCTGGGTGTCCCCACTCAAGCTATTCTCATTAGATCCAAGCCTATTTGCCCAATTCTATTTCTGCATGCTGTCCTTACTTTGCAGAACCTAACCATAAAAATAACGATTTCTCCCTGTCTTTAGGTCTTCATATTAAAGGCTTCCATGTAGACACAGTAAATAAATGTGTCTGCCTTTTCTCCAATTGATCTGCCTTTTGCAATGTTTCATCAAAACTTGAGAGGACCAAGGGTTCCCCTTGGCACCTACACCAGTCACCCTGTCTTTGGAAGTGGGGACGCTGGCACCACACAACGTGGATTCTGCGGGTGGTAAGGGAGAGACACTTTCAGGCAACAGACTTCGCCAGTGTCTACTTCCAAAAGCCTCTAATGTACACATGTGCAGGTTCATGGCTGCGACCATTTGCTAAGCCACGCCCCCAGTATTGGACCTTCAAGGTGTTTTTTTTGTCTCCCCAATGAAGAGTGATACGGCATGCATTTCTTTCTTCTCTTTCTTTCTTCTCTTTCTCTCCCTTCCCATCTTCCTTCCTCCCTCCCTTCCTTTCTCTTTCTTTTCCCTCCTTCCCTCTCTCCCTCCCTCCCTCCCTCCCTCCTCCCTTCCTTCTCCCCCCCCCACCCCTGCTCCTCTCTCTCTCTCTCTTTTTTCTTGTTTTTAAGACAGGGTCTCACTCCCATCACCAGGCTGGAGTACAGTGGCACGATTATGGCTCACTGCAGGCTCAAGCTCCTGGGCTCAGGTGATCCTCCCACCTTAGCCTCCCACAGGCGCATGCCACCACACCCAGCTACGTTTTAAAACTGATCTGTATAGACAGGTTCTTGCCATGTTGCCCAGGCTGGCGCTGAACTCCTGGGCTCAAGTGATCCATTCACATCAGCCTCCCAAAGTGCTGCAGTTACAGGCACGAGCCACCTCATCCAGCCACTTTTCTCAACAACAAAACAAAACAACCCAATGTTTTACAGCCCAATTTTTATTATTTTCATTTTCCTTTTTTAAATAGTTTGTTTTCTAAGAAAAGGAACTCGTCAGAAAATCCTTAATTGGTACTGCTACATGGATTCCAGAAAGCAGGATTTTTGAGACAGTCTCACTCTGTCACCGAGGCTGGAGTGCAGTGGTGCAATGTCAGCTCACTGCAACCTCCACCTCCCGGGTTCAAGCAATTCTGCCTCAGCCACCCAAATAGCTGGGATTACAGGCATGTACCACTATGCCTGGCTAATTTTTGTATTTTTAGTAGAAACAGGGTTTCACCGTGTTGGCCAGGCTGGTCTTGAACTCCTGACCTCAAGTGGTCCACCCGCCTCAGCCTCCCAAAGTGCCGGGATTACAGGCGTGAGCCACTGTGCCCGGCTGGTTGATATTTTCTTATTCACAAGATTACTTCATTATGAAGTTTGCCCATTTTTATATTTTTTACTTTCTCTCCGGCAAGTTCCTAGTTGACCCAACAAATCAGCAAGGCTCAGCTGGAAGCCTCCTAACCTTTCCAACACAGAAATAACCTGTTAACTATTCACATTTCCAACTGGCAGCTAGCGCATTTCCATGTCGATTAAAAAATCTTCACAAAGACAAAAAGTAATACCTCGTTAGATCCTGCGCTTGTATGGATTAAGATTAATTTTTTTTTTCTTTTTCTTTTTCTTTTTCTTTTTTTTTGAGACGGAGTTTCGCTCTTGTTACCCAGGCTGGAGTGCAATGGCGCGATCTCGGCTCACCGCAACCTCCGCTTCCTGGGTTCAGGCAATTCTCCTGCCTCAGCCTCCTGAGTAGCTGGGATTACAGGCACGCGCCACCATGCCCAGCTAATGTTTTGTATTTTTAGTAGAGATGGGGTTTCACCATGTTGACCAGGTTGGTCTCGATCTCTCGACCTCGTGATCCACCTGCCTCGGCCTCCCAAAGTGCTGGGATTACAGGCGTGAACCACCGCGCCCGGCCAAGATTAATTTTTTAAAGTGTAAAACTTGCAGTTTTAAACGACATCTTTTTTTAAACCATGCTTGCTTATTTTCAAAATAATTAAAAACAAACAAAAGCAAGATTGCCGTTCCCAAAGGCTTCTTTCTTTCCTTTAAATTTATTTTTTATTTTTTAAAGAGAAGCTAACAGCCTGGTGCAGTGGCTCACGTCAGTAATCCCAGCACTTTGGGAGGTCGAGGAGAGTGGATCACGAGGTCAGGAGATCGAGACCAGCCTAGCCAAGATGGTAAAAGCCCCCGTCTCTACTAACAATACAAAAAAATTAGCTGGGCGTGGTGGCGCGCGCCTGTAATCTCAGCTACTCCGGAGGCTGAAGCAGGAGAATCGCTTGAATATGGGAGGCGGAGGTTGCAGGGAGCCGAGATCGCGCCACTGCGCTCCAGCCTGGGCGACACAGCGAGACTCCGTCTCAAAAAAAAAAGGAAGAAAAAGAAAATAAAAGCTAACAAATGCTCCTCTGCCACGCATCATCGCAGAATCAATGAGAGCTACCTTCCCAGGGGCCAGAGGGAGGCCGCGCGGGAAGAGGCCCCGCGGGATGGGTCCACGCAGGGAGATCCCACGAAGGGTGGCCGTATACAACGTGTGTCCACGTCTGCAGGGCCCGTTCAAGGGCAGGTCCCTGAAGGACGGGTGCTCGCAGGGCACGTCCGCACGGGAAGGGCCCGTGCACTCGAGTGTCCACGCAGGGCGGGTCCGCGCAGCCCGAGAGCAGCGCAGGAGGCCCTCGCAGGCCGATTCCCGCCCAGGCCCCAGCCCACGCGGGCGAGCCACCGCGGAGGTACGCGCAGCTCAGATCCTAGCAGCTTACAAAAAAAAACCTTTTAAAAATGGAAACCTCGAGTAATAATAAAACTTTGTTTCCCTCCTTCAGAGGCGCTACTGATGTAGGACCGGACAGTCCCGGTAAGATTTCAGGAGGCGAAGACGGGGGTCCGCGGGCAGGACTGTGAATCGCGCAGCTGCCAGGACTCGCGGGGTGACGTGCGCCGCTGCCAGGACCTTGCCGGTGGAGCGCACGGCTGCCCAAACCCAGGCGGAGGAGCCCCCCGCCGCCGGGACCCGGGCAGAGGAGCCCCCCCCGCCGCCGGGACCTACGGGGGCAGCACGCGGCTGCCAGGATCTTGTCCGTGGGGCGCTTCGCGGCCAGGACCTGCGGCTGCAGCACACCGCTGCCAGGACCTCGTCGGCCGAGGCGCTCCGCGGCCCGGACCCCGCCCCGTGCGCGTCCCCGGCGTTGGCGTCGTCGTCCGGGTGCTGGTCTCCGTCCGCTCGCCGCCGCCTCGCTCCCCGGCCCGCCGCAGCCGCTTCCGCGCCCTAGCCGGCCCCGCCGCCCGCAGCCCTGGCGCTCCCCGCGGGCCCCGCCGAGGCCGCCTGCGCCCTGTGCCAGCGCGCGCCCCGGGAGCCGGTGCGCGCCGACTGCGGCCACCGCTTCTGCCGGGCGTGCGTGGTGCGCTTCTGGGCCGAGGAGGACGGGCCCTTCCCGTGCCCCGAGTGCGCCGACGACTGCTGGCAGCGCGCCGTGGAGCCCGGCCGGCCCCCGCTCAGCCGCCGCCTGCTGGCGCTGGAGGAGGCGGCCGCGGCGCCAGCGCGCGACGGCCCGGCCAGCGAGGCCGCGCTGCAGCTGCTGTGCCGCGCCGACGCCGGGCCGCTGTGCGCCGCCTGCCGCATGGCCGCGGGCCCCGAGCCGCCCGAGTGGGAGCCGCGCTGGAGGAAGGCGCTGCGCGGCAAGGTGCGCGAGGCGGGGTCCCGGGCCCCGCAGCGGACGGTGCCTGGCGCTTCTCCGTCCCCGCCCCGGTCCCCCTGAGCCCTTGGCCCTCCCCGCCCCCACTACCCTTGTCCCCGGGTTGTCCCCGTCCCCTCACCGCCACGGATCCCCCCTCCAGCGTATGCTGGGCCCATTCCTCCCGCGGTTTGCTTCCCCCCGTTTCCTGCGTCTCTGCGGACCCCATCTTGGGGTCCCCGGCTGGTCGGTGCCTTATCACCCCACCCCTTTCTTCCCCCATAGGAAGCCCTCCCCCCCAGCGCCTATCTTTGTGGTGCCCTGCCTCACCCTCATAGGAACCCCCCTAGCTCCCACAGATTGACCCCTCCCCCACTCAGTGTTCCCTCGGGGGAGACATCGCTCCTCTCGCGCCGCTGTATTCCACTGTGTCCCCAGGCCTGGCCCGCCTTCTCGTTCGCTCTCGGGCCACCCAGCTCTCACCTGCCGCCCACCCCCTCCCCTCACCCATCCTTCAGAAACCGGCACTGAGGGTCTGGCAGCAGCGGGTCCGGGAGTCTGGAGCCTTGCCCACGGCGGGTTGGTGTGGCACACAGAGTCGGAAAGAGCAGCCAGCCTGGGGTCCCGGTCTCGGATACAGGGGAAGGCAGGCCAGCCAGTCTGTGCTCTGGGCGCTCCTCCTGCAGCGGGGGCTCCTGTCACCGGCAGAGCCACCCCCATCCGGCTCAGGCAGAGCAGGGCGCAGGCCTTTGGTGCAGACCGAGCTCACCCTGAACAGGGCCGCTTGCAGACACAGAACTCCTAAACCCGCCTGGGCAGCCCCCTTAGCCCCGGCACCCGGTTCCTTCTAAGTAGGTGTGAAGCCCAGGAAACCTTTTGACTGCCCGTCCTGCCCTAGGCAGCAGAGCTTCGAGGTTATTTCTGGGATGGTCAGACTGTGTGCAGTCAGCTGGGTTGATGCCCCTTAGGACCGGGTCGGGGTGGGGGACCCAGACCTTCTGCCCACCCCTGGTGACCTTCCTCTCTTTCCAGGAGAACAAGGGGTCTGTGGAAATCATGAGGAAGGACTTGAATGATGCCCGGGATCTGCACGGCCAGGCGGAGTCGGCCGCCGCGGTGTGGAAGGCAAGTGGGGCCTGGAGCAGCCTCCAGTGAGGGGATCTCGGGCTCCGGCTCTAGACAAAGGGTCCGCAGGCAGGCCAAGCAGGCCAGGCCTCTGAACTGCTGCTGGTTGGTTGGAGGGGGGTCTCTGGGCTTTAGTGAGCTTCAGGGTATTTTTCTAGGATGTGTCTGTGTTTCTCAAAGAGACTCTGGCCAGAGCCAGTGGAAGCCTCTCTCCCCTCACAGTTTACCTGTAGGTCATAGCAGCATCAGACTCACCTTTTTTGTTGTTTTCAAGAGACGGTCTCATTTCATCACCCCAGGGGAAGTGCAGTGGTGGGGTGGTAGCTTGAACTGGCCTCGGGCCATCCTCCCACCTCAGCCTCTGGGGCCGTAGGCATGTGCCACCACACCTGGCTAATTTGAAAATGCTTTTCTAGAGATGAGGGTCTTGCCATATTGCCCAGGCTGGTCTCGAACTCCTGGCCTTAAGTGATTCTCCTGCCTTGGCCTCCTGAAGTTCTAAATTTTTCTGTTTTTTTCTTTTAAAACACATCTGTAACTTTCTGTAGTCATCTTGTTCTGATCTGAGAGTAGCTCATTAGTTTTCGGAGGCTGTCAGTCCAAGATCAAGGAACCAGCAGATTCCGTGTCTGGTGAGGGCACTTCCTGGTTCATAGACGGTGCCTTCTCACGGTGTCCTCACCCGGTGGAGGGGTGAGGGTCCCTCTGGGGTCCTGTGTGTAAGGACACCGATTCCATTCTTGACAGCTCCACCCTCAAGACCTCACCTCCCGAAGCTGCTGCCTACTAGCACCGTCACCGTAGGGATGAGGATCCGCATGGGGATTTGGGGAGGGCGCCGTCATTCAGACCACAGCAGCGCTGCTCATCCCAAGGGGACATCCCACTAGAGTTCTTTTAGGTTACTTGCCAGTAAAGCTTTTCAGTCATTTAAACTTTCTTTGGTGACTTTTCCTCGTGTGTAGTGAAGTCTGTTTTCCATTTGCTCTGGGTTTCATAAATCGCTGCCGCCTCCTCTTAACCTGAAAGAGTGCTTTTCCAAGCTGCAGCAGCTCTTGGGTAATTGGCTGCACCTCAGGGCTGAGGCCCGAGTTCTTAGCCAGCTTGAGGCTGAGGTGGGTGCTCTGTGCTCCTGGTGCAGCCCTGCCCCTGCCTGCTCTCCACAGGCCTGAGTGAAGGCCTCCCTCAGTCAGTGACAGGTGATGCAGGGGTCCCTGATGCCACTCCGACCTCTGGCACTCCACCCTGTGCTTGGGGCTGCTCTGAACTTCTCCCTGCCTTGTGAGCAGTCCACACTGCCCGGTGCAGGTGACACTGGAGGGCTCTGGGGACCTCCAGGTTTTCAGTAACCCTGTGTTACCCCCAGGGGACTTGGTTTGCCTACAGATTTTAGCAGTTTGGAGCTTTTAATCTGTCCTGTGTTGGGGGCTGGTGGCTTAGATGCTAGGATGAGAGAAGCTGCCTAAATCCAAAGGAAGGAGTTTGCAGCCTGTGGCATCGGCCAACCAGCAGACACCAGCTGTCGTTGGCATTTTCTCTCAGCAGCAAAAGCCTTGGCCTCTCATGACTATGGCTGTCACCTGCCCTCTGTGGCCCGGGGCCAGGTGGAAGCCATCCATGGATCTGAGTAAAGTCAGAGTAGCATCCTGGTTAGGGGTTAGCTGAAAACCAGCTGAAGAGTGGCAAGTGTGAACACTTGGTTGAAGGTTGATGGGATGGTTTTCAGTCCTTGGGGTTCCGGTGTGGGCACAGCAGGGACAGTCTCACTGGCAAGATGGATGTGTGTCCAGCCCAGACAGTCACATGCCTGACAGGCTTGAGACCTAGCAGGGCCACTCAAGGATTTGCTGTCCCCTTGGTCACGGGAGCTGGGAGAGGGACAGTCTTCACGTGCCGCGGAGCGCTGCGCAGTGTGGGGGAGAAAGAACTCTGCTTCTCCCTTTTAGGGGCCAGCCTGGGCCAGAGAATTAATACATAAGATAGGCAAGATAAACACCTAAGATAAGCGGATGGGGCCAGGTGCAGTGCTGCATGCCTGTAAATCCAGCAGCTTGGGAAGCGGAGGTAGGAGGATCACTTGAGGCCAGGAGTTTGAGACCATCCCCGGCAGCACCATGAGACCCCGTCTCACTCTGTCATTTGTGTCCTCTCTCAGCAGCAGAACACTCCAGCCCCAAAGACCCTTTAATTAAAAAACAAACATCAAAAAATGAGATGTGGTATTTCACATCCGTGGTCCCAGCTCCTTGCGAGGCTGAGGTGGGAGGATCTCTTAAGCCAAAGAGATTGAGGCTGCAGTGAGCTGTGCCAGCACCACTGCATTCCAGCCTAAGGTGACAGCGAAACCCTGTCTCAAAAAGAAGGAAGATAGATTAACGGAAGAAAAGTGTAGGAATCTTTGATCTTTTGAGACGGCGTCTTGCTCTGCCGCCCAGGCTGGAGTGCGGTGGCGCCTTCTTGGCTCACTGCAACCTCCGCCTCCCTGGTTCAAGTGATTGTTGTGCCTCAGTCTCCTGAGTAACTGGCACTTCAGGTGTGTGCCACCACACCTGGCTAATCTTGTATTTTTAGTGGAGATAGGGTTTCACCATGTTAGCTGGGCTGGTCTTGAACTCCTGACTGCCTCGGCCTCCCGGAGTGCTGGGATTACAGGCGGGAGCCACCGCGCCCGGCCAGGCATGTGAATTTAATATGGCACAGGATGTCTTATAGGGAAGTGCAGCATCAAAGTGGCAGAATTAAATCGCTTCTGTACTGACTTGGACAAAGACTAGCCACTTGTGAAAATGCAACCACGTGAGGGGAGACACTTAGAAGAGTTACTTTCACAAGGTCTGTACCAAATCCTGTCGGCCTTGACCTGTTGTCCTTGATGATGATGTCATTTTATTTGACATGGGGAGGGCGTCTTTCACATCGGAATTTCATTTGCTTTTAAGAAGCAGAATGAAAGGGTGATCTTGCACGGTTTTAATTTTTTTTTTTTTTTTTTTGAAACGGGGTCTTGCTCTGTGGGCCCAGGCTGGAGTGCGGTGGTGCGATCATAGCTCACTGCAGCCTCTGCCTCCCGGGTTCAAGTGATTCTCGATTCTCTTTCTTTACCCTCCCAAGTAACTGGGACCACAGGTGAGTACCACCACGCCTAGCTGAGTTTTCTGATTTTTAGTAGAGACAGGTTTTCACTGTTGACCAGGCTGGTCTCGAACTCCTGGACTTGAGCGATCCTCCCTCCTTTGTCTCTCAGTGTTGGGATTACAGGCGTGAGGCATCGTGCCTGGCCCCTTATGGTTTCGTTTGGTTGGTTGGTTTGAGATGAAGTCTCGCTCTGTTGCTCGGGCTGGAGTTCAGTGGCACAATTTGGGCTCATTGCAACCTCTGCCTCCCGGGTTTAGGCAGTTCTCATGCTTCAGCCTCCCGAGTAGCTGGGATTACAGGCGCATGTCAGCATGCCTGGGGAGTTTTTGTATTTTAGTAGAGATGGGGTTGGTCAGGCTGGTCTCAAACTCCTGACCTCATGGTCTGCCTGCCTGGGCTTCCCAAAGTGCTGTGAATACAGGCGTGAGCTCCCACACCCAGCCTAACGGTCGTGTGACTGGACAGCATGTTTTGGAGCAGCATGTTCTTAACTCCTTGAACAGTAAACAGGTTCCCTTCCCCTGGAGAGGGTGGGCCAGGACAGGTCTTCTCCCGCCACCTGCCTGCAGGGACACGTGATGGACCGTAGGAAGAAGGCACTGACCGACTACAAGAAGCTACGGGCCTTCTTTGTGGAGGAGGAGGAGTACTTCCTTCAGGAGGCCGAGAAGGAGGAGGGGCTCCCCGAGGATGAGCTGGCCGACCCCACCGAGCGCTTCAGGTCGCTGCTGCAGGCGGTGTCGGAGCTGGAGAAGAAGCACCGCAACCTGGGCCTCAGCATGCTGCTGCAGGTGCGGGAGGCCAGGGCGGGCGCGGGCAGCAGCGGGGCCACCCCCGGGAGGCCAGGGCGGGCGCGGGCAGCAGGGAGCCGCTGGGAGCCGCTGCCCGAGGTCAAGGCTTCAAAACCCAGCCTGCCTCCCACTGCCCTAGCCTTGCAGGGCTGAATTCTGGGGATGGGTAGGTGGTCAAGGAAAGTGATGAGAAGGGGTTTTAAGCTGAGGAGGGTCGAAGGTGTCCCTGACCCTGAGTGCCAGAGCACAGAAGGCTCCTGCCTCGCCCTGGGGTCCTGAAGGCAGAAGTGTCCAAGAAGCCTGGCTTCAGGGCTTTTCTTCAGCCTCTGCCCAGGGCCCGGCCCGAACCCCAGACCCCGCAGAAACCCAGACAGCTCTGAATGGTTCAGTTGTCCGTGCTGGCCATAGGTGACAAGGCTTTTGGCCCTGGGGAGACGAAGTGCGGGTCAGGCCCTGGGTTTGTTGTGCGCAGAACAGTATGCCGAGCTCCCTCCTGTGAACGCTCTTTCTCTCCCCGCCTCGCCCCTCCCCCTCTCTCCCGCTCTCCCCCCTCCCCACTTGGCCTCTGTGTGTCTTTGTCTTTTTGTCTGTCTTGCCCTCTCCCCTCCCATGCAGTGATGGCACCAGCCCACTGCCATCCCGGAGCTGGAGGCAGGCGGATGGATCCTCGTCTCTGTGGGAAGTGTCAGCGCGTGGCTGCGGGAGAAGTGTGGTGGGCACCCAGCCTTGGGTCCATCTGTGTAGCTTGCGTGTTTCAACAATGTCCATTTATCCTTCACCCCAAGGCGTGAGTGTTTTGGGGGCTGCAAACGCCTCCTGGTAGAGGCTGGACTTGGGGACCCTTCCCACCTGTGCCCGACCCCTCCTGAAGTCCTGGCCGCAGCCCATCCTCCATGAGTCCCGGCAGCCCCAGGCCATGCCCTTCCTCAATCACCCATCGACCCCTCACCTTGTCATCCAGGGACCCAGACCCTGCACCTTCCACGTGGGGCCCCAGATTCTTGGCAGGTACGTGAGGCACACCCTTGAAGGTCAGAAACGAGAATGCACACGAGGCCGTGAGAAGGCTGGAACACAGATTGCAGGGAAGAGAAAGAAGGCTGGATGGCACGTTGATGCCTCCTGAGGAGGGGGCCCCCCTCTTAGGGGTGGGTGTGGGCCCTGCCCAGCCTCATCCCCGCCTCCCTCCCGAGTCCCCTCCCCGCTCTGGCTCCTGGGAGCCCTCCCTGTGCTCCACCTGCCTCTGCAGAAGGGACCCTCTTCTCCCCGGGTGAGGGGCTGGCAGGTGGCCGACCCATTTAGCGTCTCCGGGCGCTGCGCTGGTGTCTCATCTTGCTGTTCTCTCTGGCTCTCTCTCATTTCCTTTAGTCGTTGAATTTTGCAAAGCTCGTAGCAGTAGCTCAATTGCCTGCAGCATCCTTGTGTGTAGATAAATTAGTCTAATTGACAGAAACTCAGCACTGGGGACAGGATTGCAAAGCCGGGGACATAGATGCAGACAGCTGTTGAGATGTGGGGCCAGCTGGGCCTGTGAGTGGGGGCCTGTTTCCAGAAGCCTTTCATCCTTCCCATCCCCGGCCTTGGTGCGACGTCTGTGAGTTTGACCTGCCCAGCGCCTGGGCTGGCTCCGTGCTGAATAAAGTGGGTTTGCTTCAGCCCGTTTGCGTCGTCTCCGTGTGTCCACGTGGCCTCTTCCCCCTGTCCCGGCCACCCTCCGCTGTTAAAGGAATATTCCTCCTGACACTTGTTAAAGTGTGGTGAGGAGGATTTCACGGGGCCCATCGAGATGGCTGTGGAGCCCTTGCCTTGGGGCCTTGGGAGAGATGGGGCTCCACCCCCACACAGCAGGACAGGGTGGGTGGAGATGCCAAGGGGCAGGGTGGGGTCGGTGGGTGGGAATGACTAAGAGGAGATAGGAGGGGTAAGTGCTCTGGCTAAACCCACCTCACCGGATCCTTGCTGCAGGCGGGCAGGGTGATCAGCTGTCGGCTGCAAACGATCTGATAGGAACCCGGTCAGGTACCATTGAGGGTGGTTAGTTAAACCAAATCAGGGTTCTTGCTAAAACTGGCTTTTGTAAGAAAGTGCACAGAGAGGGCCCTGGGAGAAGGTTCCAGAGCCTGGCTAGAGTTTGGCCAACCAGAGAATCTCTGTCAGCACACCAACAACCTCCCTGACCCTGAGACCTCAAGTTTGTTCTCAGCATCTCTGCCCACTGCAGTCCGCTGTTGTCCCCAGTGCCCGTTCTACCCTGCCCTGTACACCTGCGATGCTTACCCAGCCAGGCCCTCATGACAGAGTCCCCCACAACACCAAACTCCACATCACCAGGTCCTGATGACAGAGTCCCCCACACCAAACTCCACGTCACCAGGTCCTGATGACAAGAGTCCCCACAACACCAAACTCCTGTATCACCAGGACCTGACAACAGAGTCCCCCACACCAAACTCCACATCACCAGGACCTGATGACAGAGCCCCCCACACCAAACGCCACATCACCAGGACCTGATTACAGTCCCCCACACCACCAAACTCCACATCACTAGGTCCTGATGACAGAGTCCCCCACACCAAACTCCGCATCACCAGGTCCTGATGACAGAGTCCCCCACAACACCAAACTCTCCATATCACCAGGTGTGAGTGGCTTTACCGTCCTCACCTAGCCAACCAACAACATCCCACCCTGTCAATCACAACCTCTTTCTGTTTAAAACAATGATATATTTATGGGGCACAATGTGATGCTTTGATACCTGTGTACGCTGTGGAGTGGCAGAGTCAAGCAGATGAATGTATCCACCTCACGTCTTTTGTGGTAAGAACATTTGACATCTGTGCTTGGCAGTTTCAGATACAGTCACCCCTCAGTCTGAGGGGAATTGGTCCCAGGACCGCGTCGTGGATACCAAAATGCACGGACGCTCAAGTGCCTCTGCAGGATGTGGGACACATACAGAGGCTGTGTGCACACAGCACACGGTTGTCCTCTGAAGTCGCCGTGCTGCGCAAAGGCCCTGAGTTCTTGTGAACAGGAACTCTGTACCCTCTGACCAGAATTGCTCCAGATCCCCTGTCCCAGCCCTTGCTAACTGCTGCTCTCTGTGTCTTTCGGTAAATCAACATTTTGATTCCGCATGTGAGATCATAAGATATTTGTCCTGTTCCCCGCTCATTTCACTTAATATACTCCAGATTCACCCAAGTAGCAAACGGCAGTTTTCCTTTTTATAGCCGAATAGTATTCCACTGTGTGTATCCACCTTATCCCTTTATCCACTGGCTTCTAGACCACCAAGGTTGATTCCATATCTTGGCTGCTGTGAAAGTGCTGTAAGAAACAGAAGTGTGGGTATCTCTTCCACTTATTCATGTCATTTCCTTTGGGAAAATGCTTAGTACCGAGTACCAGCTCAGCCGGGGAGACCCCACCCAGGCAGCGCTGAAGACAGTGAGAGGCAGACACACAGAACAGCGAAGTGGATCTATCTGGGGGGAGCAGCCTACCCCGCTGAGAGCCTCAGGGCTGACGCATTCCAGGCTGAAGGCTCCGAGCAGATTCCTCATCCACATGGTCTCTCTCAACAGGTGATTATTATTAACAAACAGGTGTTCTGTATTTTCTCCTAACTCATAAATATACAGTAGGCAGCTGTTACCGGCTTACCACTGACTACAGACAAACTCAAAGGCATTCTCCAAGAGGGAGCCCCGGGGCAGGACCAGATATCTCAAAGCATTGTTTTAACCGGTCGAATGATATTTCTACGTCGTCCTGCCACTTTGGAACGCCCCAAATGCCTTTCCACTTGGGGAGGGGTCGGCTAGCTTTTCCTTGCCATCGTTCTTCCTAGCAAGCAGTATGTTCTATCATACACTCAGCGTTCATCAATATTCATAAACTCAGTATTTCTCAATAGCTTAGTGGTAGAATTGCTGGGTCACAATTCTAATTTTTTCAGTAACCTCCATATGCTTCTCCATGATGGCTGTATAATTTACATTCTCGCCAACACTGTAGCCTTTGAAATGAGCCATTCTGCTCCCAAGCTGCCCCTGCCTCCTTTCCTCTCCTCTCCTTTCGTTCTCAGAAAAAAAGAAAAAAAAAAAGAAATTATCCATTCCAAGAGGTGTGAGGTCATCTCGTGGTTTGGATGTGTTTCTCTGATGATTGGTGATGCTGAGCATTTTTCATATACCTGTTGGCCACTGGTGTGTCGTCTTTGGAGAAACTTCTGTTCAGGTCCCTGGCCCACGTTTGAGTCATTTATTTGCTTTCCTGCTGTTCGGTTTGAGCTCCATGTGTATATTGGATATTAACCCCGTACCCAATGTATGGTTTGCAAATACTCTCTCCTGAATTGTGAGTTGTCTTCACTCGGTTGGTGATTTCCTTTGCCGTGCAGAAGCTTTTGAGCTCTCTGCAATCCTGCATGTGTATTTTCCTTTGTTGCTTGTGCTTTTAGGGTCATAGGCAAATGATATGACCCTAAAGCCTCAACCAGTGTCCTGGAGTTTCTCACCTGTGTCGTATTCTACTGGCTGGACAGCTTCAGGCCTTACCATGAAGCCCTTGTCTATTTTGAATGGATTTGGGTGTAGGGACACTCCCTCAGCGAGGGCTGCTTCTGGCTCTGTCTGCCTCACCTCCTCTCCGAGCCACTCTTCATGTCGAAGGACTCGTGGCATCCTCTTATGATCTCTCTGTCCTACCCAGACCCCCATGGTGACTGCACACTTGCCTCTCAGATGTGGGTCTCTCTCCCAAATCCTCTCCCGGGTCCAGCCACTGCCTCCATTTCAGACTCGCGAAACGGGCTGGATCCCTCAGTCCTCAGAGAGACATCTCAGAGCTGCCCGAGTCCTTTTCTCTCACAGTCCACGGCAGGTCTGCAGAGGAATCCTGCAGCTCTTCCTGTAGCCACAGACCTTGGCCTCGGCTTACCTGCTGCCCCCGAACCACTCCCGGCACTGTCCTCTCCTGCCCAGGAGACCCGGGAACCTCACGTCCTCCCCCTGGCCCAACAGTGCACTCCCAGCCCAGCAGGTAGACGGGTTTCTCCCTTGAACTATGTCGGAGATACAAACCACAGTGCTTCAAACAATGCCCCTGTATGCAGGAGGAGCCAGTGCGGTGATCCAGCGTACAGCAGGACTGTCGGGCAGAAACTTGCCCTGCTCTGGGAGTCCCTGCTGAATGACTAGACTTCAGCTGCTCTTGCCAGGAAGTCCTAAAAATGCTGGCCCCTGGGAGGTGATGGGAATGTTCATTGCTCCCTGCAGTGACCGTTTTGCTGTAGTGTACCTTGTAACAGTACGTCACATGCCTTAGATGTACACAGTGAAATTTATTAAAACAATAAAAACAAGAACCCAGCCACAGCCTGCCCCCGCGGTACTCAAGGCCCTGCAGCAACTCAGATTCCTTCATGGAAAGCGTCCCAGTGGCCTGCGGGCGCCACATGACCCACCGGGAGCTGTGCCTCCCTCTGCTCGCCATTGCACCCCTGCTCCCAGCGGACCCAGCACGCCGGCCTCTCTGCTGTTCTTCCGTGGGCCCTGCCTCGACCTCTGACCTCCGGGGAACGTTTCTCCCCCACACCTGTGTGGCGGTTCCCACAGGGTTACAGAAACGGCTTGAAACAGACGCCCCTCCTCAGCCCTTGACCACGCGAGCTCTGAGGGACCACTGTGTCCCTGTGGCTTTGCTTCAACCAGATCTCTCTGGTCAAGGGCAGCCCTGGGCAGGAGGATGTCCGAGCCTGGCCATGGGGAGTGGGTGGCACATGGATACTGAGGCCAGCACTGTGTAGAGAAGCAGCAGTTTATTCACTGGAAGGTCGGGGACACAGCCTCAAGACATGGATGTATTAGCCCAGTAGTCACTACCTTTTTCTCAACTCTTAATAGAGCTTAGTGGGAAAGCTGTGGGTGGATAGCCGGTATCCATCCGAAGGTCGCTTTCAGTTTCAGGATCCTGTGGCCAAGAGAGGAGATAAAAGTTTAGGGCCATTTTACCTTCTTTTTTCTTTTTTTTTTTTTGAGACAGAGTCTCACTCCGTCACCAGACACCAGGCTGGAGTGCAGTGGCACAACCTCGGCTCACCGCAACCTCCGCCTCCCGAGTTCAAG